TTCATTGAGGCATAAAACATTCATTTGGGATCCAACTTTTTGAAAAAAAAAAAAAAAAAAAAGATAGATACAAGCCGTGTTTGGCATTTAATGGATTCAGTCAGCATGTTTAACTAGCAGAATAAATTGGCGGGCACAATGTTTGATAACGTAGTTATTTGGTCATAAAAATTAGTACAAAACGTCATTTTTCACAATGTTGCCCAAAACTCTTATGTTTGCACCATTTTCATTTGAACAGTTTCATCCAAAAATACTACGGCCGAATAGCTATCTACCAAACGAAGCGTACAAATAGTCATACTTCTTCCGTTCCCTTTTAATTGCAACAGTCAACATTTCACGTTTGCCAACGCACAAGTTTAACCATTAATATCTTTTGTTTTTTATTAGTAAAAAATTTAAAAAATTCAGATTTTGAAATTTTAGAATGAGAAGAATTTAACAATATTTTTTTTAAAATTTAATTTATAATGCATTAATTTATAAAATATAGTCAAAATTGAATATGTGAATAGTTCAAAAAGTCCAATGTTGCAATTAAAAGAGAACAGAAAAGAGAAACGGTTGCTGAAACCCGATTTTCCAAAATGATTTCCTATAAATACGGACACGTAAAAACTGTTGCGGCGTACCTGTAACGTGTTATTAGCCACATCGAGCGTCCAAAAACCGACGGCAAAAACCGTTATGGCGCGGGGCTTGGTGGTTTTCCCAAGGCGGTCGCCGGCGGCGTGGCCCATGTCAGCAGCGAAGCCGATGAGGAAGACGGCGAGAATAACCAGCACGGCGCCAGAAGCAATAAAGGGTCGACGGCGGCCGAAGCGGTTAGTACAGTTGTCGCTGTAGTGGCCGGCGAGCGGCTGTACGATGATGCCGGAGATGGGGCCGCAGAGCCACATGAAGGAGGCGAACTTGTGGGGCACTCCGAGGAGCTGGACGTATGGGGTGAGGAGGGAGAACTGTAGGGCCCACCCGAACTGCAGGCCGGTGGCAATGGACGCCACCAGTACCATCTTCCATATCGGCGCCGCCTCCGCTGCCGGCGGCGGCGAATCTTTGTCCACTTGCAAGGAGGACTTGTGTTCGCCGTTGGTAATGGAGCCCACCTCCATTTCTGATCTTATTTAGTCGAACTTTGATACTACTAAAGAGAGTAGTATAGTCTATAGAGAATATACAGTGGCAGAGCAGATTCTATATAGTGTAGGAGACGTGGTTGGTACAGAACTAATCAAACTCGCCCAAAGATAGGCAATCAATTGGGTTGGCTTGAGTGTTCGAATTGAATTCTTTGTCAAACAAAGAAGGCTAAAGGGTCAAATGATTTTCCTAAATATACCGCGCTGTTTAAATGCGTAGTTATATTCAAAAAATCATTTGACTGCTTTCCTGGTTGAATTTTTAGCTAAAATTTGGTATGGGCAACCTAGACTTAATGAAGAAGATTCTCAAAAAAATTCATCAAAAAATTATAGTGGGAACCGCCTCAATTGATGACGGTCAGGAGAACCTCCTATATAAGGGGCTAATTGAACACTTTAAGTTAGTTGATGTAACTATTTGACCTTTTAGCCAACAATGAAATACTTCGTACTTCGTATTGGTCAAATGTCCCAGAAAATGATTCATTAGTCATTGAGTTTTTTTCCGGAATAATGTTATTTAAATAATTAATTCCCAAAATACTGCAGAAGTTAATCCCAGTTAAGGAAAGCGGCCACTTGAAGTGGCAGTTCTTCTGTGCAGTGCAAAACTCGTTATTCCAAGTAACTGCTCTTGTGCCTAGCTAGTAAACACACACCAGCTCATTCAACAACAAAAATCTGCTCCTTACAATCCAGTCAACTCAGAAACATCAAACAGTTGCTCTTAATAGTCAATATAGGTTGCTATATAAAAACCTCTTGCGGCTTTTTATAAAGTATACAATAATTATCTTAAACTACGTGAAAAAGCAAATGAGACAGGTAAAGTGACACGAAGGGGTTTTTTGCACAATTCAGTAGATTCAGCCAATCCAATGACTTAAACTAGCATTTTATAAATTTCAACAATTTCAAATTTTTTAACTAATTTCAATTTTTATCAAACTGGTTTGTATTAATTCATAATTTCAGTTTATTACTTTTAAAAGTCATTTCATTCTTAGGATGTTTTTACTTGGACTGTAATCTGTCCCAGTAACTCAAGAATATAGAGATAGGCTAACGCAAGAATTAATATTCAGGGAAAGAAGTTTAAGAAAATAACTCACAACTTCAACATTCAACAAGTTTCAAGAGCAAAATCAAGAATAAGAAGTTTTGCTCCTCATTTGAAAACTAAACATGTTAGAAAATAGAAAAGAAATATTGTTCTAAACTGAACATAAGTATATGGAAGAAGGGATTTCCAAATGAGAATGAAAAGGATGCATTTATAGGTGTTTGAAGGTGTCAGAGTCGAATAACCCCCGAAGAAGGCGTGGACTCGGGCCGGGCCGGGTCCAGGTCGGGCCTAGGCCCGGGCGGGCCGGCGGTTCAGAATTGGTGGACCCGGAACCGGCTCGGGTAGCCACCGGGTCCGGGCCGGGCCTCCGGTTTGGGTATTTTGTTTTTGCTTTCCTACCCCCCCCCCCAACCCCTCCTAACCATCAAGCCCAACCCGGGTGGAACCCCAAAAAATGAAAGAAAAACAAAATGGCCCGGACCTGAGAACCAGGCTGGTTCCGATCCCGCACAGTAGCGGGCCGGGCCGGTCCACGGGCCGGGTGGCCCGACCCGAATCCACCCCTACCCCCAAGTATCTTGAATCATCTAACAAAGTCTCCAATGCCAATGTCGGTCTAATTTCTGTATTTTCACATTAAAAATACCAAATACATAAGAAAACCTGATAAACTATATTTAAGTTAAATTAGCATTGTGTGACTCATTTTAACTATAGAAATTGTACAAAAAGCAATTTCAAAAAGCATAAAATACATGTTAAAATATTGACTAATCAAGATAGTACAAAGTTTTTTTTTTTTTTGAAAAAATTAACATGAAAGCTTATATGCTAAATTTACCACGTTTTTTAATTTATGCAACATGATTACCACTCAAAAGATACTCTTACTGATCAAAACTATATTTCATTTCTTTTATTTTTTAATTTATGCAATATGATTACCACTCAAAAGATACTCTTACTGATCAAAACTATATTTCATTTCTTTTAAGGGTCATTTCCCATGGTTCATTAAGTTCAAGAAAAAAGGAACATAATGGGTAGCCAAGTGAAAGAGTCTAAAAGTCTTTCATAAGTATACAGCTAGAGATAGGGTTCGGTGGCTTCCGCCGGCCGCCTTAGTGTAGTTCGTTTTTCCCTTCTCGTTCTCAGCCTTGGCTTTGGATTGCTTCAGAACAAAGGCAGGGCGATTAGGTGTTTTGGGTCTACTGCAATCGGCAGGTTCGTGGGTTGTAGGGAAGACGTTTGCTAACTGCTACGGCTTCGGAGGGGACATCTCGGCAGACGAGTTTTTCAAATATGGAAGATGTGGTAGAGCAGTATAGACGTTTGGCTTTGGAGAAAGAAAACAGTAGGCTGAATTTTGATGATGAGGAGGAAGAGAATACCATTCCAAAGGCAAAGGCGGCAGATTTTCCGGTGGTGGGAGTCATCCTCACCGACCGGAAAGTCAGATTTCAGTCAGTTCAGGAACTGTTTGTATCGCTCTGGAGGCCAGGGAGAGGAATGGCGGTTCAAGAAATTGATGAAAAAAGAGCAGGTGGTGGGGGTAAGATCAGCCCCACGAGGGGCGGCAAGTGGTTGGGGGATAAACATGGAGGTTCAAGTCAACAATGGAGGGCTCAACAAAAGGAAGAAGGCACTATGAGACAGGACCGTAGGGGAAGTACCGCTGAGTCTGAAAGCAGTGGCACAAAGGAAGAGACTAGAAGCGGTGCTGGGAGGTCGCGGTGGACCAGAAGCGCAGGAGAGTTTGGAAGGAGCCGTCAGAAGAAAACATCTCAGGGGAGGAGATGGCACTGGACAGCACAAAAAACGGGGAGGAGGCGGGTCTCAGCTCCTAGGCCCGCCTGAAGTATTCATGAAGCTGCAGGTGCAGAGTTTCCACGGTGGTGCTTATTTTATTATTGCTTGCTTTGTTTCTTTTGATGGTCAGACTGTTGTTTTTGTTATTGGTTTTGGTTATTTTTGTAAGACTCTTGCATTAGGCTCGGGTGATGAGTGTGCTGCAGTAACCATTATTGGCTCAGTTATGCCCAGTTTAGGATCAGCGAGTTATACTGCTTTTTTTAAGGTGGTTAACTCAGAGTCTGGCCCAAGGGCGGATGGTTATGGGTGGTGCTCTTGTTATTTTAGATCCTTGCTGAATGCTTTTATTCTAATATAAGCCCCCTTCATTCAAAAAAAAAAGTATACAGCTAGAGATGGATTGGGTACGGGCAGCTCGACCCGGACCTGCCCGGCCCGGTGCTGTTTAGGCCCAACCCAATTTTTGGGGAACAATGAGTATAAGAGGCAGGCTTGAGCTTTAATTTTTGGGCTGGGTCCGAGAGAATGCCTGTGCCCAAAGGCAATTTAAAAAAAAAAAACTTTTTTTAATTAAGCGGGTTTAGCCCTCGCACAGCCCAACATTGTTTGGGCTTGACCAGGGCCTGGTATTGGTAGAAACCGGGTCAGTACTGGGCCCAATTTTTGGAGGAAAAAAACCCATCAGGACCGGGTTTGGCCCGGCACCAGTCCATCCCTATATACAGGGCAAGGCGGGCAAGCCTTCTTTTGTCATTTTAACAAAAGCTCGTTCCCAAATCCCAAGACTTAAACACATGAGCAACACCCTAACCGAAGTGTCAAGGCTCCCTTCGTACAATTATAAGATCAACATTGAATTTGTAAAACATATTACTCGTAAGCTTATCTAAATAGGTGAACTATAAATAATTTATATCTCATGCATAGAGCAAAATATGATATAAAACAAATATTTGAGATAGTACATAACTTCTCTTCTTGAAAGTACTTTTTAAGCAGGCATTGTAAAAAGTTAAAAACATAACAAATAAAGTACACAACGTAAACAAATATAAACTACATATATAAATTACAGGCTAACATGTGAGCTTTTAGGTTACTCCTAAATGAGGTGCACTTTTGCATAACTAAAATCTGTTTAAAATGATGAATTAACTTCTTCAGGACATCAAAGGGGAAAGATTTCTCGTTCTATACATGTAAGAGAGTAATTTGAGAAGTGCATATCTTCACCCTACAACAACACCCTATGGGGGGAAAGAACTCAAGAAATAGGAATATAACAGCAGGACTTGTTTCTTCTACTCGTCGAGTGACCTAAGTCTGCAACCAAAAAACAATGCTGGGGATCACTAACCTTGAAGCCATTTCACAATGCTGGTGGGTGGGGTTGTACAAAACTCGGGCAGCAGAAATGTCTCTTCACCACGGTGGTCTCTTCCCCACAAAAGCTTATTGAAGCTTAAACTAGTTGTGGAACGTGTCCAGTCTATCAATGATGTCTAGTGCCTTGACCCGATCAGTATCAAAGTTTATAACAGGGACAGAAAATGGTCGCCTGATGGAGAAGGAATGATCTTTCTTCATCTCAGTCGTAGTCGTAGGCGAATGGCTACTGCTCTTACTAAGACGTTGGTTGTGCTTGCTCAACCTGGCCGTGGCTTTTGAAATGCCAAATTCCTGACTCTTACTGATACCGGGTGTCAGCTTCCGCTTGCTTACATCGCGAAGCATCTCTTGGTCTTCAATTGACAATGCCGGAGACGGAGGGTGGTTCAGTTTATAGCATGACAGCTGGATTGCCTTCTGATTAGGGGAACGGATTGGGGATCTAACCCCTGCCCCATTAGGAGATGATTTCGACTGGTGGCTGACTAGATGATGCAACCAAACCACAAGTTCAAGAATGTAATTCTCAGTCTTCTCCTTCTCTGCATGATATAATGTCTCTATTCGAAGTAGATCGGATTGCCCACCACATTTGTGATTCATCTCAGCCCTAACATAAATATAACAAAATAATATGTTGTGGCAAAAATTAAACTAATCAGTTTGAATAACCATGCATATAATGAGGTTACCCCGTATTGGCCCATTCTCCAACCCATCCAAAGCCATGATGTGCCCTGGAAATAAAAGCAGTTCTTTATACCTGGAAACACCAAGTGCATAGGAAATAAGCAAGATATTGTATATAGAGAGAGGTTCTACTTGGTCGTATTGGTAGCCATAGGTACAAGCCACTGCAATGTTTTCTCCATTTCTGCTTTGATTTGAGGGACAGTCATCTGCATCATCACCATCCATAAACAGTCGTGACTTGTGAGGAATCAGAATTACTATCTACTTTACTATGATGTGTGCTTTCCTGTGAACACACGACACACAAACCAAAGAAAAAGAAAAAGAAACAAAAAAACAAAAACAAAAACACAAACACGCAAATAAGTTTTGCCTAAAATATTTTTAAATGGGCAAACAAAGACTAAATGATCACAACAGCAAAAATACCACCCAGGCTGTTCAAGTGTAAAAACTAAACATCACTGGTCACTCATGTAAATGCGGAAGTAACAAAATGGTAACTGCACATTAAGGGTATTGGTAACCTCACCAATACTTTGATTTTAGTCATACATATTTGACATTGAAAAACCAAAACGGGGAGAAAAAACAAAGCACATTAAATGGGAAAAGATATAAATGCTCTTTTTAAAATCAAATGTTGCCATTGCCGGAAATACTAGGCCTATTAATGATATACAAGAGGGAAAGTCACTCATAGAAAGGGTATCCTTTTTTGCTATATTACTGCCTCCATCCCATAATTTTTCCCACTTACCTTTTCGGTATGTCCCATTTCCATCATTTTCAATGGAGCCAAAGACTCGCTATTTTTTGTCTTGGGAATATGATGGAATAAAGCAAAATGGCTCACTAAACTGTCTGCGCTTCTTTGTTATGAAGTAACAGTCGGCCTATGCAATTTTCAACGTGATTTTCACTATGGGTCATTCGGAAATAGTCTCTCTGTGCTTTAGTACAGAGGTAAGACTGCGTACATCTGACCCCCCTTACCCAACCGTAGGTGGGAGCCTTTGCGGCACTGGGGTGATGATGATGATGATGACGACGACCTTTTGGTATGTCCCAATAATTTCCTCTCATTTCCTTTTAAAGAATGGTTTGTGTGGTTAACTCTCTTTCACTTTTTTTCCTACCTCAACCAGAACCATACATTTCCACTTAATTAATATGTGTATCATTTCAAAGTGGAAAGAAAAAATTTGGGATGGAGGAAGTATTTGCATCTGTAAGTCTTTTTCAACTTTCTATCAATATAAATTTTGGATAATTGTTATTTTTCACTCAAAGTTTAAATGAATTTGAAGTTTGAGCACTTTTCATGGTCGTAAAAAAGATGATGTACCTCCTCCTTAAGTTGGAAGGATTGTAACTTGAATCGCAAAGCAGACTTTATGCTTGGGGGCAGACCCTGATAAAGACCATCTCTTGTATTAGGTGGGACTGAACATGATCGGGTTACCTGATGGCATTCACAACTTTATAATTAAGTAATTGCAACTGCAAGATTTGAAGTTCCCTACTTTATTTACAAGACCTTATTTATAAGACCACTGAAAAAATAAACTAAAGTACAAAAACAGAAACAAAAGGTAGGAAATGAAATGGTCATCGAAGACCCCCAACTCTTGCCATCAATACTTCTTTCAGTTTTTTTTTATTTCCATCATGACAGGGACCCCCCCCCCCCCCGCACACACACACACACAACAAGTCAGCACAAATGGTCACAAATAGGAACATTTTTACTTCCATATTACAGGGAACCCTCCCCCATTTAGTGCAAGAGATTATCCCTTTTGGTGTACCAAAATATATACGTAGTATGATATTAGATTATTTTGACATGGCATGATGGCAAGATATTGTTAAAAATGGAAGAATAGATTCTTGGCAGCAGCCAAACAATACAGAAATAACATTGGTATCTACTACGTATTTCACTTTTCCATATCCAATTTTCTTGGACATCCCAAATTAAAATCCAGTGTCCAGACACAACACACAAGATCACCACATATGACTATAGTTATAGTATGTAATTCCAAATGTAATTTGTAAAACATTCGCGATTCACCACATATGACTATATTATAGTATGTACTTCAAATTGTAATTTGTAAAAAATTCTCTAACAGATTTGTAAAAATTTGTAGTCCACATAATACAAAAAGTATTATTGAAAGGTTCTAAACAACAGCTAATGGTTATGGATATCATTTTCATTTACCCCAGTGGCGCAAAGGCTCCCACCTGCGGTGGGGTAAGGGGGGTCGGATGTACGCAGTCTTACCCCTGTACTCAAGCACAGAGAGACTGTTTCCAGATGACCCATAGTGAAAATCGCGTCCAAAATTGCACGGACTGGCTGCTGCTTCATAACAAAGAAGCTAATGGTTATGGATGATGAAAGGAAATTAAGAGTATGGAATAAGTATAGATTTTTTTCAGAAGAAAAAACACAAACAGATACTCCGTATTATACTTACAAGTGTATCAATCTGAGTAATAAGATTTGCATAATGCAATGCAAGACCTGCAGATCCCAGCCTTAGATGATTGTTTTTTATTGGTCTGCCCTCATCTACAAGTATGTAAGACAAAGCATGGTGTAAATTTAAACATAAGGCAACAATCAATCACATATAACACCTTCAAAGAAAATTATATGCAACCACCAGTATGATCTAATTGCCCAGGAGGGAGTCTTCATAATAAAATTGCTTACATTACCTACAGACCATAACCTGGAATGCAGTCAATGCACCCAAACATTATTTTATCTTTGGTACTGCCAAGTGCCGAAGACATGTAATAAAATAAAAGGATTCCTAAATTTAGGCAAGTGATAATGATATATGCACAGAGCACACATATCTTCACCTTAAAAAAGTGCAGAAATAGGTAGGCACATTGATTTGGTCACGAAAAATAGATTACTTTCCATATATTTAGCATTCAGCTCAAACTATCAACACTTCAATGACCTTTTTAGTACTCTCTCCATCCTTAAAGTTCCTGCTTAGAAATGCATGGTTTAGAATGCATAAAACGTATTTCATTTGACTTTGAAAATTCCCTTGTAATGCGTGTGAGTAATTGATGGTGGTGGATGAGGATACTATATGAGGGTAGCAAAGTGAGACTTTTACCAAATAAAGAGGACTTTATTCAGGGGCAGAGCATACACAAAAACAGACACTTCATTAGGGGATATTATATATAGAAAGTTCTCTCAGGCATAAATAAAGTAGAACCGCAGCAGCAAGTGCTACTCTCTTGCCACCTAAGCCAAACTAAACCAAACATACCCATCATAACCCACTCAAAAGTAAGGCCTGGGGAGGCTGGATGTACATAGACTTTGCCATCTCTCGTGTGAAAAGATTATATAGAAATATGCCAGCTTCAGAAGAATGATATAAAAGATTGCTTGCAATATCAATTACCAACACTTCCAGAGCTAGCATGAATCTCCAAATGAAGGAAATGCACTATATCCACCAGCTTCACCATTACCTGTAATCAAGAGAGTATAGATCATCTTTGATCAGATGGAAGTAGGTTAAACATCTATATATTGTAAACGATTTGAATGATGATACCATATTAAACACAAATGGTTTTAAAAACCCATGTCCTTGGTGTGTGAAAGTACAATTGCCAGCTTTAATTAAAGAAAAGAATATAAACAAGCACTGACTTGCTACCTCTTCCAAGATTTTGGACCACAGAGACTTTTTTTTCAAACTTTTTACATGTTTCCTCTGACTTTTTAGCTCGGCCCTTAACATTGCAAGACCATCTCCTAACCGTAGAACACAAAGACAATAGATAATAGTCAACACATAAGACTATAATTACTGTGAAATTATGGAGTAAAAATAACAATGATGTTCAATCAGACCAATAGAACTATAGGTGCACCGTGTTGGTATCAACCTTTTGTTATAACGTGTTTTAAAGCAGCAAATCATCAGAGGGAAGACACTAAACCAATAAGATGCCAAAGCCCAAAAAAGACCAGACCGGATAAAGAAAATTGAAAATAAATACAGAAAATTAAAGGCGCCATCCAGTGAATATTCTGATCTGCGTTATGCATTCAGAAAACATGTTTGCCAAAGGAAGCAATCAAATACGAAATTATTACTCTCCTCTACTGCAATGAGCATAGAAGACCCATGATAAAAGAAGAAAATTTACATGCAATTTTTCTTTCAGCTGCACATGAGAAGATATACTCCCTCCATCCAATATGAAGTCTACACTTCAGTTTGGCACATATGTTAAGAAAGTGAAATTGGATGGTTGAGGCTAGGGATGAGCATATCGGTTTCGGTTCGGTTTTTATCGGTTTCTGTTCGGTTCGGTTTGGAACAGGTTAAAAGAATTATTACCAAACAAAAACCATACTATTTTTCGGTTTAGTTCAGTACGGTTCGGTTTGGATTTGTGATTTTTTAATAATATATGAAGGTTTTATTGAATTTCTTTAGATAGGTTCAGTTTTGTTCGGTTTTATCGGTTTCGGTTTGGTTCGGTTTAATACGGTTTGGAAGAAATAACTACCAAACTCGAACCAAATTGCATATGGTCTGGTTTTGGTTCGGTTCGATACGGTTCGGTTAAACCAAACAGATATGCCCACCATAGTAGTCATTGGCGATAATGGCGAGCGCCAATTTTCGCCTTTGGCGATTCAGGAACTCATCGCCACGATATATGGCTATAGCGCTGGGTTACAGTTTGCGTTGCCAAAGGGAGCGCTATCGCCTCGCCTTCGCTTTTTAACGCCAAAAATGGCTTATATTTAGAAATAAAAAAAAATAGGCCCAGATTAATTTATGGCCTCTGCGTACCTGGGTTGACATCCCAGCCCTACCAGGAACGTGACTCTGAACATAAAAACAAACTATCGCTAATAATACCAAAAATTCTTATCGCTCTGTATCTGCGCTCCTAAAAAAACTGTATCTGCGGCTCTGAGCTACTGAACGAGGAGTCTTGAAGGAGCGGCCAGATAGCTTTGACACCCAGCGACACCCAGCGCTGATCCTGCGACCACCCAGCACCCATCCAACCACCACCTAGCTTCCGGCGACCCCCCAGGTAAATCCTCCCAGAAAATATTTTCAAGTTTGAGCTTATACCTCTGTATAAATATGTGTGAATGTCTTCTTTTTTGTTTTTGTATGTTATGTCTCACAGACTTACGTTTATAATTATTATATACTACATATTATGTATGTTTTGTATTATATAAATATGTGTGAATGTGTTCTTTTTGTTTTTGTATGTTATGGTCTCATGGACTTACGTTTATAATTATTATATGCTACATACTACGTATTGTGTATGTTTTGTATATGAACTTGGGCGGTTATGTTATGTGTATAAAATTATAAATACATATATGTAGTCAAGTGTGTTTTTAGTGTATTTATTATGCACCAAGTATGTTCTATTGTGTAATGTAATGAGTAATGACTTATGGCTTATGCACACAGCACACACATACTGTGTTATACCTTATACGATTATGCTTTAACTTTAATGCATGTAATGTTATTATACTCTTCTATATTGCTAATTTGCTATGTTATTATACTAATATTAATATACAGTATTATATATTAAGCATTTGTGTGGTTTATTATTATCTATATACTGTTATTTAGAATCTGATATGTTTTACTTATGTGTTATTGCCTTATTAAGCGTTTGATAATTTATAGGCAGTTTGACAGTTTGATAATATAATAATATACTGTGTTATATGCACTTATTAAGAATCTGATATGTTTTATTTATGTGTTAAACTGTTATTGCCTTTCAAAGTGTGTTTAGTACTGAAATTTGAAATGCTTGATTAATGTGTTTGGTTTTGTTTCTTTCACAATGCTTGATTAAAGTGTTAAAACAGTTTGATAGTCACAAACTCACAGACTTCATTGTGTGCAGTACATAAATTTTGGGAGTTTGATTAATGTTTTATGTATCTTTATGCAGAATGTCAAGTGCCTATGCAAAGGAGTTTTGCAAAAAGGTGAATGAGAATGACAATAATGCTTTCAAATGCAACTTCTGTGGCCATGTGACCAAAGGCGGGATTACAAGAATGAAACAACACTTGGCGGGGAATCACAAAAACACCAGAAAATGCGACATAATCCCGGCAGATAAGAAGGCAGCCCTACAAGTGTTGGTTTTGAAAGAAGCTAGTTCACGGACTGATACAAACGTACTTGAAAATACATTTCGGAGTACATACACTGGAGGGCAATCATCTAATGCAGAGCATGACAGTGAAGATGACGACTTCGAAATAACCGGAGGTTCTTCAAATCCGGTGGGAGCAGGTGGTAGTGGGCCGATGGATAAGTTTGTTTATCCAACAAAGAAGAGAAAGAAGGGGGACTTGATCCAATCTACGATCCCATCGAAGATGAAAACAAAAGAGCGGGAAGAATATGCGCAAAGCTTATGCTTGTGGATGTATAGGAATAACATCGCATTTAATACGGTTCGTGATCCGTTGTTTAAAGACACGCTCGAAAAGATAGGGAGATTTGGGGCCGGGTTTAAGGCACCTACATATCATGAGGTGAGGGAGAAATTTTTACGTATGGAGGTGGAGAAAACCGATGACATCGTAAGGGAGCATAAGAAATTTTGGGAACTGGATGGTTGCACCATAATGTCTGATGGTTGGCAAGACAAACGACACAGAACTCTTGTAAATTTTTGTGTCAATTCCAGCAAGGGGACTATCTTCATGAAATCCATTGATGCTTCTTCATATAAGAAGACTGGTGAAGCTCTGTTTAAGTTGTTTGATGAGTGGATTCAAGAAATCGGGCCGCAAAGTGTGATACAGGTTGTGACAGATAATGCTAAAAATTATGGGTTAGCTAAGAGGAAGATTGAGCAAAGATACCCACACATCTTCACAACCGGTTGTGCTGCACACTCTCTTGACCTGATTCTTGAAGATTTTTCAAAGAAGATACCAATAGTAGCAAAAACGGTCAAGGCGGCCCAAGGTATTACTACCTACATTTATAATCACACTCTTGTTCATGATTTGATGAAAGAATTTACCAATGGGAGGGAGTTGGTGAAACCAGCCGCAACCAGATTTGCTACAAATTTCTTGACTCTTCAAAGTCTCCTTACTCAAAAACACGCCTTGAGGCAGATGTTTAATTCGCCAAAGTGGTTTGAAAGTGACTTTGCGAAAACGATAGAGGGTAAAGCAGTTTGTGATGAAGTTTACCGCCAAACCTTTTGGCGAAGTGTGGGTTTTGTTATGAAGATTTCTTTGCCTCTTGTGAAGGTGTTGAGAATTGTGGATGGAGATTTGCCTCCTATGGGTTTCATATATGAAGCTATGGAGAGAGCAAAACTCGGAATCAAAAACACATTTAAAGGGAGAGAAGAGAAATATAAGCCGCTGTGGAAGATTATCGATAAGCGTTGGGATGAGAATCTTCACTCTCCATTACATGCCGCGGGATATTATTTAAATCCACAATTCTTTTATCCGAATTCACGACGAGTGTTGGGTGATGCGGAAGTTTGTGATGGATTTATCAAATGCGTGGAGAAGATGCTGCCCACAGAGATTGGTGAAAGTGTAGAGTTCTCAAATGAGATTTCCAACTATACAAGTGCAAGGGGCAGCTTTCAGACCAAGTTGGCAATCAACAATCGAGACAAGCAACCCCCTGGTAATCAATACAAATCTGAAACTTAATTAATTAATTAACATTATTCATACAAATCTCGAAATAAATATGATATTTAATCTATTTAAATAAATATGTGAAATGCAGTTGATTGGTGGCTTTCAAATGGTTCTTCTTCTCCCACTCTACAACATCTTGCAGTGCGCATCCTTAGTTTAACATGTAGTGCATCCGGATGTGAAAGAAATTGGAGTGCATTTGAGAATGTAAATTTTCTGAACCAAGTTATTTTTATTCCACAAATAATAACTGATTAACTAATATATTATCTCTTAATATTAGGTCCAAAGCAAGAAAAGAACAAAGTTGTTGCCAAAAAAAATGAATGATCTAGTTTACATTCGGCAAAACCAGCGCCTTCAAGATCCGGCTTTTAAGAAAATGAAGATATGCCTAGATGATCTAGAGGATTGTAATGAATGGATTGATGAGGCTGCAGAGGAAAATGAAATGGAAAATTGGGATGTTGTGGAAGAAGCGGCCGGCGTTAATGAAACGGCTCACAACACTAGAGCATCCACATCAACATCAACACTACATCAGTTGCGTGATGAAGATGAGATGGATATAATACAAGATCCTTCTGATAGTGAAATAAATGAGGAAGAAGTTCCTTTCTTATCTGAGTCAGATGAGGAAGATGGGTCTGATGACTAGACGTGAGCGAGGAGGGGGGTGACTATGATTATTAGTCAACAGATCACAAAGATCAAACTTTAAATTCTGTTTTTTAGACATTAACTAGTTATGGATATTAAGTTGGTTTGATTTGGATTATTTTTGGTACTACTTTGGTTATTTAACAATTTCACTCTTTAATTGGTGGTTAAGTCATACACGTATATATTGTCTATATGATATGTTTAAAGTTTTTTTAATGTTATGTTTTACTGGAGCGCCATTTGAGCGCCATTTTAGCGCCATCGCCAACGCCGCGTGAAATTACCCCTGCGCCAAGTCCGTCGCCGTGCGCCGTGACTACTATGATGCCCACTCCTAGTTGAGACCTATTTAAAAGGCTAGAAAAGATACTATCTATACAATTATTTCCTAAAAAGAAAGATAAAGATTATTGAGAGATGGAAAAAAAGGAGAATGCTTTTGTTCACCGTCACCCATGGGGGTGATGTTCGCTCCCACCCCTCGCATATCACATGGCATGGCATTTCTTTTTTTTAAATTGTTATAACTTTTTCATTTATGATCCAACTTTTACAAAAATATGTCAAATTCAATTTTTTTTATGATCTTTCACATAACATCAATATTTCATATGTGAAATTAAAAAAAAAAACAGATTTTTTTAAATTTTTACATATACAATGTTGGTACCATACGAAAGATCACAAAAATTTATTTAATTTGATAAATTTTTTGTAAATATTGGACCACAAGTGAAGTTAAGTGTGTGAAGGATGTCGATCAAAGGGTACTAATGGAGGACGGGGAGATAAAAGAGGGGTGGAGGTCTTACTTTGATACACTTTTCAACGGGAACAAAGCGCAAGATATCGGTGATTTGACCATGCCAGATTGTATGGTGAATCGTGATTTTGTGAGAAGAATTCAAACAACGGAAGTTAAGGAGGCTCTGAGGAAGATGGGGTGGAAGAAAGCAGTGGGACCAGATGGCATACCGATCGAGGCTTGGAGAAGTTTGGGAGAGAGAGGCGTCGAGTGGTTAACAAGTTTCTTCAACATGATTTGGAGAAACAACAAGATGCCAACGAGTTGGAGGAAGAGTACTCTTATCCCCTCATTCAAGAATAAAGGTGATGTACAAGAATGTGTCAACTATCGAGGGATTAAGCTTATGAGTCACACCATGAAACTTTGGGAGCGAGTGATTGAGCAAAGACTTCGAAGAACTGTGGAGATTTCAGAGAATCAATTTGGTTTTATGCCTGGTCGCTCAACAACTGAGGCCATTCACCTTATTTGGTAGCTTATGGAGAAGTATAGAGACACTCACAAGGATCTCCAATTGGTGTCCATTGACTTAGAAAAGGCTTATGATAGGGTACCTCGAGAAGTTTTTTGGTGGGCCTTAACTAGAAAAGGCATATCATGCAAGTATATCAGCATCATCATGGATATGTAAGAGGATTGTACTACAAGTGTTCGTACTAATGTAGGGAGGATTGCGGAGTTCCCTATTAATATCGGAATGCACCAAGGATCGGCTCTGGGCCATTTCTTATTTGCCATAGACATGGATGAACTTACGAAGTCAATTCAAGACGAAATACCGTGGTGCATGATGTTTCCCGACAATATTGTATTGATTGATGAGACACAATCAGGTCTTAAAGCAAAGTTGGAAGTATGTCGACAAACATTGGAGAACAAGGGTTTCAGACTAAGTCGGAGCAAGACAAAGTACATGGAGTGCAAGTTTGGTGGAGGTAGAAGCAGTGGTAATAGTGGAATTACTCTAGATGGTAAGGAGATACTGGTCAGTGATATGTTTCGTTACTTGGGCTCCATAATTCAGAAGGGCGGTGAGCTAGATGGAGATGTATCCCATAGAATCATAATAGGGTGGATGAAGTGGAAGAGTGCGTCAGGATTTCTATGTGATAGAGGTATGCCGCCCAGATTGAAGGGTAAATTTTATAGGACAACAATTAGGCATGCATTGCGGTATGGCGTAGAGTGTTGGGCGGTAAAACAATGTCACATCCAAAAGATGAGTGTGACAGAGATGCGCATGTTGCATTGGATGTGTGGGCATACTAGGAAGGACCATGTGAGAAATGAGACAATCAGACAAAGGGTGGGAGGAGCACCTATTGAAGACAAGATGCGGGAGTCTCGCCTACGGTGGTTTGGTCATGTGCGTAGAAGACCGAATGATGTACCTGTCAGACGTGTTGAGATGTGTGGAGAAGAGGCAGGGAAGAGAGGGAGAGGAAGACCCAAACAGACGTGGGTTGGGGCAGTCCGAAGTGATATGCTTCTTCTTGGGTTGGATGAGGGTATGGCTTTGGAGATAGCAAAGTGGAGGGCGGGTATTCGTGTGGAGGAGTGATCTCGTATTATTATTATTTCACCTCATCTTTTTTCTTCTTATTTTTTATTCTTTTATCCTTATATATATATATATAAACATTATTTTTATCCTTTTTATTTTATCATTTTTAAGTATATTCATCCCGTTTTATATTATCTTTTTCATAATAGCTTATTTTTTATCTTTATTTTCTTTCTTTTCCTTTTGGTGGTGTTATCATGTATCAATTCATGTTAGCCGACCCCAATATCATTTGGGACTAAGGCTTGGATGTTGTTGTTGTTGTTGCATTGGACCACAAGTCAAAAAAGTTTAAAAAGAGAATTGACATGCCATGTGGCAGGCAAGGAGGGGTGGGGTGAACATCACCCTCTTGGGTGAGGGTGGACAGAATGGCTCTCATTAACTAAGAAAGTATATTCAAATATACTGAGAGTTTCAACCAATAAAGCAATTTCAGGTTTTCAACCGATTCAGACAAACCTTCCATTGCCAAATAGACTCTAACTATACTAACAAATTTCCGGAGTCCCCATCCAACAACAGAGTTATCATACAAGATAAAGCATGCACAAATACCTCTCTGAGCGGCACTTAAATTATCATCTTCCTGAACCTTACGCCGATAATCCTGCTCGAATCTGTCTAAGGCATGCAATTCATGATATAGTTCCTAAAAAAACAATGAAAACCTATATTAGATATAAGATAATCAATAGCTAAGCTCATCAGCTGAGACAAGAGCAAACCTTGCAAAAAGTATTGTCTTCCCATAAATCAATACTACTACACTTACTCTACACAAAATTTATACAACAGAAGACAAATCCGAAGTGCTGAAGGTGTGGATTTTTAAAACAAAGAAGAATCTAAAGAATGGATTAATAAAATCCAGCTATTGCTGCTATTTCTGGCTTGTTTGGAATGAAAGATGTATCACTTTTACGGCAATCAATAGTATGAACAGATATTCAACAATCTTTTCTGCGGGTTTTTTACTCAAAAAAGCTTCTCACTACTACTCTTCATTTGATTTTTTAGTCGGCTCAAACCTGTGAAGTGTATTACCTGCTTTTAAACGCGTCATACTGACATCACATTACTTTCTGAGTTTCTGCACTACTTTTCTTCATTCTCAACTCATTCAGCATACATAGTCAAATAAACTTTGCATTTACTTTTGGCACACATTAAGAAAATGAAATTTGATAGTTTTGGGAGTTGTGACAACTCGAAAAGGAAAACGACTATTTTATTTCGGGATGCAGGTAGTATTTAACAGCTTCTAAATTAGTAATCCCAGCTATGGCGTTCAAACTAAGCGCTAATAGTTTACTTCATATGTATTCTTTAGGTTTGTGTCCTGCAATTTCTAACATTCCAAATTGACTTTTCATCACAATAAAAGAAATCTTCATCCAACTGCGTGCAAGCTGTAACAATGGTACTTTACTACTTCTAATGAAGGGAATACCACATGGAAAGTTGGAAACTAAAAACAGATGTACTTCGATTGATGTACATCACTTGGAAATTAATTCAATTAAAACAATCATTGTACATTTCATCATCGTGTTCCTTATGTCTTTCTGTGGCCCCACCCAGTTGGATCCAGTCTGGCAGGGACTGGCTTAGTCTAGTATGGTTTAGTTTGATCTTATCATGTCATTTTCAGTCTGATGTGGCCGGCTGGGTTATCTACTCGGTGAGTACTCGCAACTCGGGTCCTTACCTTGCCGATTAGCAACTTAACTCGGTCCGAGTTAATTTCCCGAGTTACTCGCCGAGTACTCGGTGAGTTTTGCTACTCGGTCAACATCGGAAATCGGCGAGTACTCAGCATTACTCGGTATTTTAAAAAAATTGAAGCACTACGGTTAGAAATCCTAAATTAAAGCAAAAAATTAACGGAGTTCCAAGTCTCTGACTGCAACATCGACTCTCTTGGAGTCGCGCGACATCCGCTATCCCTTCAAGTTGAGACTGCGACATCGGCTAGTAACTCTTCTTTCTCTCGTAACTTCACCTCTTCACTTCTGGTTTCTTCTTCTTCCCCCCTCTCTTAGTCGTGTATGTTCTTGCCTTCTTAGATAGTTTTGGTTCTTGTTTTCGGTAAGCTTTCATCTTGGATAAGTAGTCTAGTAGACATCCTGCTTTATAGTATCCAATGCATTACTTCTTGGACTAAACTGATAAATACTATTGAATAATATAAGTAGTCTAGTAGACATCCTGCTTTATGTTGGACTAATGCCCTCGTACTCCCTATAAATTCAATTTCAACAATAGACATTAAATTTTGATCACTTATAAAATTTAAATTTTAAAAACTTGGAATATTTATGACTTTTGCTACTCCATCATTAGGATAATAGGATTTGTATCTTTTTATTCATTTCTATGCTTTAAAAACAATTTTAAGACTATTATATTTCTAAATATATGGCAACTATATTATTAAATTTAATTAATACAGGACCGAGTAATCCCGAGTAATCGGTCCTACTCACTACTCGGCCCTTGACCGAGTTACTACCGAGTAGCGAGTAAACTAACTAGGTGACCGGATTTTATATTATGTGAATATTTAATTTTGTTTTATATCGTTACATCACGCAACCCACCCGCACAAGCTCTCCCAGGATCCAATTCATACTTCTGTGATTTTTAAAAAACTAGTTTGCTAGAGAAATGCTGAAATTGCTGCTAGGATAGAATATGTCATACAGCCTATTACTCTATCAGTTGCTTTGAGCACCCCGCTTAAATTCCAATAAAAATTACATCCCTCAGCTCCCACCGCTACTCTGAATGTATATCTCCTAAATTTGTGCAAATCTGGAATCAAGCAATCAGCTCAACTCTCTTCATTAGCCATTTGTCTTTCAGCAAATCATCACCCTACCTTTCAAATCAGTTCCACTTCTCTACCTCTCAAAGTTTATCCGTCACAGACTCTTTTAAAAGGACAAAAGGCAAAAAGTACTTGAAATCAAGGAGACAATACTCACAGCTGTATGCTGAACGAATGTCATCAACTGATGCATCTCTACTTCTGCTTCTTCTTTAAGTTGTTCGTTGAATGTGAGTTCTGATTCTAACCTAAATCCAATTATGGCACAACAAATGATTTAAAACATACTTGCCTGAAGAAGAAACTGCACAGGTAAACTAGAGGCAAGAGTCTCACGAGTACTTCTCAAAATAACGGTCCAAATTGTGCCACTGAGGATCTTTACAGCGATTTCCAAAACGAACCACCTCTCCGGAAAATATTTTCAATTCATCTCTGCACATTAACAAAAAAATAAGCCTCTCCTTTCTTGTAAATGAAATAGCATAAAAACTTTGCATATAATCACTTCCATTGGCACCTCTTGTCTGCCGCAGCAATTCTAAAGAGTTCATCCATATCCTTTGATATTAAACGTTGCACCCCTTCTGATGGAAGCACAACCTCCTTCATATGTTTAATGTTCTCACTTGAAAGGGAATTCATGAGTTTTGCGCCCTTGACAATAGTGTTTGCAACTTCAAACGCCAAAATTGATATTTTATTTCCTTTAGTAGCCATGCTGGATGCAAAACCGCCACTCAAGTTTAAGTTTGTCATGCTGCTACCTAGTGTGTCCAACACATCATAAGCCTTCACACCAGCTTTCCCCAAAAGTGAACTCACTTCTGAAACCTGTCATGTGCGGAGGAAATGATAAACAAGCATATAAAGATGCCAGTGAATTCTACCTAGAACGCTATTAAGATTTGAGAAAATATACAGCAACATGCTTCAACTAGTCAATTAGATACAAATAATCACTTGCAACATTAAAAATATTAACCAAGATTCTAGTTTGAGATTAGGCATATAATTGATTCAAGCAATGATAATTAACTGCAGGTCCTGCGAATATTGGCTGGTATAGACTAGAAATCAAGGTTGTCCCTGACCATGTTCAAAATGACAAATTACATATTTGCACGGGGGCCTCCAAATCTATAGCACACTAGGGCCTCAAATCTCAATCATTATAGTTTATACCCAAACGCCATAATAGGGGCCCATGACCAATTTTTTTTTATATCCGATTTATGTTCTCATTTGATTTTAGTATACTTATTAAGAAAATAAATTTTCCATCATTCGCAGTGGAGCCAAAGACTCGTTATTTTTTGGCTTGGAAATATGATGGAATAAAGCAAAATGCCTCAGTAAACTGTTGAATGAAAGATAAACACTAGAAGTATAATGGCTTCAGTAAGGAATGGTACTATGAATATAGTTGAGTACTTGATGTAAGGATATGGAGCCAAAGACTCGCTATTTTTTGGCCTGATAATATGATGGAATAAAGCAAAATGGTTCACTAAACGGTATGCGCTTCTTTGTTATGAAGTAACGGTCAGTCCATGCAATTTTCGACGTGAAATTCACTATGGGTTATCCGGAAACAGTCTCTCTGTGCGTTAGTACAAGGGTAAGACTGCGTACATCCGACTCCCCTTTACCTCGCTGTAGGTGGGAGCCTTTGCAGAACTGGAGTAATGATGATGATTAAGAAAATAAATCATTTTTGAAATTTGTATTTATTTAAGGAAAGAAAAAACATCAACCGCGCAATTCTTTCCTTAAAAGAAAATGGGAATATAACTTTGAGACGGACAAAAATGAGAAGTGGAAAGTTAATTTGATTATGGCCTTATGAGTGAGTATAATTTTGGGAAAAGTACGGAAAAGGTACCTGTGGTTGGACCCGTTTTCAGATAAGGTCGTGTGTTTCATTTTTTATTAAAGTGGTTTGTGTGATTGAACTCCGTTATCACAAGAGGGTCCTGGCGCCTGACGCCGTTAGAAATCACCGAAGAAAGATGATGAATAGTAATTCTGATTTTCAAAAGTACCCGAAAAATTAAAAAATAAATATCGGAAGGTGCGCCTCAACAAGACGACCGCTAGGTCATCTTTCTCTTTTGTTTCCATCCACCCTTGTCACCGGAAAGTCCACCGGAAAAGTGACATGCGAATTCATTAGGATGTTTTTCATTGGATTGAAATTTTTTGGTCTGGTCTGATCTGAACCGGTCTCATAGATGTCTGGTTTTTGTATATTCTAAAACTGTCCAAATTTAGTCTGGTCTGATTGGGGACTGAAAAAAGTCCAAGTAAAAATCCTTACACTCAAGTCATCATCATTCATCATCATTAACCCATTGCCGCAAAGGCTCCCACCTTCGGTGGGGTAAGGGGGGGTCGGATGTACGCAGTCTTATGCCTGTACTAAAGCACAGAAAGATTGTTTCCCGATGACCCATAGTGAAAATCGCGTCGTAAGTTGCATGGATTGACTGCTACTTCATAACAAAGAACTGAAGAAGCGTAGACAGTTTAGTGAACCATTTTGCTTTATTCCATCATATTATCAGGCCAAAAAATAGCGAGTCTTTGGCTCCATATCCTTACATCAAGTACTCAACTATATTCATAGTACCATTCCTTACTGAAGCCATTATACTTCTAGTGTTTATCTTTCATTCAGCAGTACACAGCTAGCTAAATTGTTGGTCAAATTAGTTATATGAAAAAGTATTTTAAAAGCACTTTTTCTCAAACAGTCTGAATGCATTTTACCAGTTAGTTTAATTTATTGAGTCTTGATGAGGATTAGATGAATAGAGGAGGATTCTTTCTGACAAGGGAATTATTACTTTATAGTTCATTCTGTCGTGTAAACTGTCTAATGACATTTTTGCCATATTCAATACCACCAAACACATAACATTTTTAAAGTAACAATGATATCGTCTTGAGAAAAATAAATATTTACCCATCTGCATGCATATTGTGGACTACATACCTTTGCCATGGCCACTTGTCTAGACCTTGTGGATCGAGATTTCTGAGATAGGGTTCTAGATAAGCGAGGAATCCCATCATTGATATCATCCATATAGGCCTTATTGGAATGAGCATCAATTTCCGGGAAAGAAAAAGACTGATGATCACTTGGCTGCTTATCAGTGCTTCCCACATCATGAGATTGTGTAGGATTGGCGTTCACTTGTGTGGGCCTCAAACCACACGACTGATAAACCATCCCAGCACCAAAATTTATGTGATTGTTGGCTTGTGGAAGACCGCCACCTTCAGTCACTATACCTCTAGAACACAGCCCACCCATATTTTTGCAAATATGCTTAACCTAATATTGTCTCAAGCTTTCCATCAAGAACCAAAGTATGTACATATCCCAAATGAGCTTCTTGCTGCAAAACCTGACCCTCTTAGAAGAAGTCAATTAAAAGACTCGATTTTTAGTAAACCAGCCTGAAGTCTTTGGGCAGAACTTGACCACATCCTTGACCAATATTTCCTTACTTTAAGCAGATGCGAAGTAAAGTCAAACTGGAAAACAAACAGAAGCAAAACAGATACATAAAAAATAAGTAAAACCCCATCATCAAGAATGATGAACTATTGAACTTCACACCCAATAATGGAAATTCAAAAACCAGCACAAATAAAAATTACCAAAAGCAGTAATAGATCAAGCTCAAATAAATAGTAGTCCAAATTGAAGGTGTCACATATGGTAATAATTATGAAGCACTGCCACGGCCCAAAAAAAGAATAGCTCAGAAGTTATACCACTTATTGCCATACGTGAAACTAGAAACACAATCATATTCAGGCAAGAAGACAAAACTGTGCACTTGCAAGCCTGACTGAGGGATAAAAACTTCAATATCATTACTTGAGTTTGACCAGAACTCTTAATATACAACCAACCAAGACAGCACATAAATATGCAGATGTGGAGAATGCTTTATAGATGCACATAATTCACCCACACTGAAAACTCAACTAGAGAATGGTTTGCCAAGACAAGATGGAGAAGAAATAAGATTAGCAGCTGGATCTAAGAGTAGAGTTTTTAGCTTATTTCAAGGAGGTGGACTGATACCCGTGAAAGATGAAGGATGCAAAGATTGAATTTTTAATTGCCTTCTTGATCGAGTTTTTCTTGTTTGGCCGAAATGCTTGCAGGGTTGAACTCTTTCTTGACTGACCCAAGTCAGAGAACCGTGTAGATGAGATGCAGTCGTAATCTATCTATCTCTCTATTTCCCTATTTGCTCAGTTATACCGAACCAATTCAACTCTGCGGCCGACCACCGTGCCCCCTTCTGGTCAAAGCCCCCGCTTATAGATATGGAGTTTTTCTTTTCAAACACATCAGCTTTTGCTTAAAAAAAGCAGCTGAACAAGTGTAGAGGAAAGTTCACGTCAGGCCGGCTTCTCTGTCCGGCAGAGCCCGTTTGGGCACCTTCCCGGTGGAATTTTTTGATGAAATTTTTTGAGCATGTTTCTCATCAAGTCTAGTTTGTACATACCAAATTTCAGCTCAAAATTCGATCGGGAAGGCATTCAAATTATTTTTTGAAGTTGACTGCAGTTTTATATGTATATTTTGACGCAGTCAACTTCAAAAAATGATTTGAATGCCTTCCCGATCGAATTTTGAACTGAAATTTGGTATGGACAAACTAGACTTGTTGAGGAATATGCTCAAAAAATTTCATCAAAAAATTCCATGGGAAGATGCCCAAACGGGCTCGGACGGACGGAAGTTCCCGTCAGGCCGGCCTGACGAGAAGAGTACTCCTCAAGTGTATAACTAAAAGTCCTCCGTATATATTTATTCCAGTGTTGCATTTTTTGTTAACAAATTAAGGCTATGTTTGCAATCACTTTTGTTTAAATAAAAGCATTTTTTGGGAAAAAGTAATTAGTAGTAAAAGTTGGTAGTGTTTGGTATAATTTGTGCTTTTTGTGTAATAGAAAAAGTAAAAACTAGATACTACACGAAAACCGATAAAGTAAAAGTTGATAGTGTTTGGTAAAATAAGTGTTTTTTCTTAAAAATGTCACAATCACTTATTTTATGTGATTGCAAACGGAGCCTAAATATATGCTCTATGATTATGAAGTACTAGTATTCTACCGGGTGTTTTAGTCATAGTACAGTATTCTATGGGGTACTAATTAAAAAGTAAGTATTTGTTCATTCACTCTTATTTGATTCTAAGAACTAAGGACCATACAAGAATAGAACTTCTCGCTTTATAATGTAAATAGTTACACTTTTAAGGTTTAAGATGTTTTGGTGAATAAACATGACACAAAACATTAACTTTTTTAGCATAATTTTTATACACAAATGCTAGGGTTCGCGGCTCTCCGGTGGCGGTCTTGGCCGGCGAACGATAGCGGATAAAGTGCGGGTTTGTTTGAGCGTTGTGGCGGGTTTCGGCTCGATCAAGCAGGGAGGATTCCAATGGAAAATATTGTCAATCAATACAAAAACATGGCTATTGGAAGAGATGATGAGGAGTTGAACTTCGATGACGATGATTTTGGAGAAATCGCTGCGGAAGAGAGGCGGGCAAGTTTCCCGGTGGTACGCACCCTTCTGACAAGATGATAAAGTTTCAGATCTTTAAAGAACTTATGGCATCTTTGTGGGACCAAGCAAAGGTGTGTCGGTCAAAGAAATATGCGCCAAAAAGGTATCTTTTCACTTTTTACCATGTTGTGGATATGAGACGTGTTTTAGAGAGTGATATGTGGCTGTTTGAAAGGAATTTGTTGGTTCTCAAGGAAGTGAGGTAAGAGGATATTCCGCTCAAAATTAGCCTTAATGGAGCTAAATTCTAGATGCAGGTTCATAATGTTCCTTGTGATTTTATGAACTTCGGTATCGCGAGGAGGGTTGGTAACTATATTGGTAAGTTTATTAGCTATGATGAAAGCCAAATTAACAAAAAGTGTGAAGCCTATATGCGTATTAGGGTCAGTATGGATGTTGGAAAAAGGAACAACCCTCGAGAAAGGGGGGATTGGCCACTCGGTAGATTTCAAGTATAAAAAGCTACCTAACTTTTGCTTTATTTGTGGGGCTATTGGCCATTGTGATAAGTTTTACCATTGACATATGAGAATAATATGGTACTAGAAAAATCTTATGTTGCCGATCTTAGAGCCGGTGGAGGGGAAGACTAGTCCTATAGGGGAGAACATGTGGCTGGTTGAAGGCTCCTCAAGTACAAGTATAGGGGTGCAGCAAAAGGATGACACCCAGGGTGGAGTGGAAGCAGGAAGACAGGGCTAAAGGGAGTCCATGACAAGCACAGGCAATAGCATGACAAAAGAAGGTGACTTAATGAGCACGGAGAAATTGCCGGGGTAAGAAATGCAGGAGAATATGGGAGGATCGGAAGCAGGGGACCCAGTTGGTGATAACATGGTTCTTGACCAGCCAAAAAAATGGGGGGGGGCAGCGGGTCTCGATCACCAGGCTTGCCGGATTATCTGAAACAGGTCAGTTGGTCGGGAACGTGGATGGTGGTGTTGTTGAAGACGAAGCAAGATTTTTATTTTATTGTTCTTTTGCTGTTTACTTTTTATGGTTAGACTGTTTACATTTTTGTTTGTTATTATTATTAATGTAAGACTTTCGAGTAAAATGTACATGTTGACTCGTTCAAAATTGTAACATACAAAAATCACTGGGGCATACCTCTACTCAATGAAAAAACAAAACAGCAAATTGCGTGCATAAGGTAGACACATTGCCTTACCCGCATATAGCAGCCACAAACCAAACAGCAAGGGGCAGGCCCCTTACCATAACTAAAACAAATTGCCAAACAAGCATTCCAACCCTGCTGGTTGTGAGGTTACCGTGCCTAGTGGGAGGTCTCGAGTCCGAAACCCGCTAGGCAAATAAGGGTTTGAAACTCAATGAAGTGAGTTTCAGCACTGATTACTCCAGGGGGCCAGCCCTCCTCCCCCCTGACCCCTTGGAGTAAAAAAATTAAAACAAAATTGCCTAAACAGTCCACAACCTTCCATAATCAGATACCAAATCAACAATAAAAAATCAAGAATACAACCAGCCCAATAAAAGATAAAAACCTCCAAAAGCATATTCTAAAAATCAAAAACAGTGGTAGGATATAGGTTGAACATGATTCTATAAACTACCACCTTGATTTTAGCTAAAACCTCATGGGATTAGAAAAGAAGATGATCGAAGCATGCTAAGTTACGTGATCTCCAGATCGTATAGATGGTGCAGCAAAAGGTTATGTGCATCCACTAACAGGCCAACCTTCCCTAAACACTTTATTAACCTAAATGTCAGGTCTTAACCGGTGATAAAGAGTCATGTGCATTCACTAGACTTATAATTTGTCCAAGCTTAGTTCAAAGAAGGTTAGACGCAGCCCTGAACTCATTCCAGAGAAGGATGAAAGAGAACAAGCGCAACGACGAAGCTCGGACAAAGATAAACATTCCCGATGAAGTCCGTCAGTGGATCATCTTCTTCGACATCTAGCTCCATTATAGGTAAAGTTGGGCAAAATTGTCATCACAACATAGAGTCCAAAGTTACTACCTTGACTTTACTACATACGTCTGCTGAAGCTTGAGTTTGAAAAGTGGAAGAAATCTCATATGTTACTACTTTGACTTTACTTCCCCCCTTGGACTAAGTTTCTTCTTCCTATTGGCTGATTTCATTTATGCAAATCCAGACTGGCCACCACATTCAATTGCTTAAATTAAGTCTGGAACATCAATGCCATGAATGACATAACAATCTATGCACCTGTTCTTTAACACCATACTGATCAAATCCCTCACTTGATCATCATGATATGCCCTTTTTAAACCTTCTTCATAGCTTAGTTTGGGAACCATGTAGTCAATGACATCTATTGTGGAGTATTCCATGCACTTCTTAGCCAACCCTTCTAACAAAAACCAACAAAGTTCACCTGCATCTACATCAAATGCCCTAGATTCACCTCCCACGTATTCTAGTGCTCCCATGGTGTTCTTCTTAAGCACACCCCCATGCCATATGCGAAGAGTAACGTGAGTGTCGTCTATAACCTAATAAGTCACCATGTCAAAGATTAATACTATTTATTCAAGCAAACCTAACAAATGAAATTAATTAACACCAGAAAAGCCAATAAATTCAGCTAAACCACAGCAACCCTAATTTTCACCCTAAAATTATACATGAACCCTAAACCAGTTGAACCCTAAAATCAACTAATTATAAATTCAGAAATGCTAAAGGTACCCCAAAATGGAGTATCACATTCTTACTCCGGTCTAATGTGTGGCCACAAATGGGGCAACACGTTTAAGTAAGGCACCACTTAAATGTGTTGCACTATTTGTGGCCACACATTAGGCCGGGGTAAGAATGTGGTACCCCGTTTTGGGTACCCCATTTTGGGGTACCTATATCATTTCTCTTATAAATTCAGCTAAACCACAACAATACTAAGAGTTTGAGAAATATTGTCCTAGAATTTAGTCAATTTACTTCAGCGTCCATGTGCAACTGCCTCCCATCAACACTTTTTTTTATTTCACTCTTCTCAGCCTATATCAATGCAAGCTTCGTTATATAAATATCAGCTCAGGTGTTACTCTAACTTTGATATATAACATATACGCCGTATTTCAAAAAGAAATACTCACTCACAAAACCACAAGAACCCTAATTTTCACCCTAAAATTATACACGAACACTAACCTGCAACAATACTAAAAAGTTTGAGACAAATATCATCACCATTTTGTTTCAACTTGTGCGGTAATGTATAAGATCTGATACCAGGCTGTGAATGGCGCTGATGGGAGTAAATCTCCTGGGATGGATAATGGGTGTGACCGTGACTTAAGGAGGATTCATTTTTCCGTTTGTTACCTACGCAGATTTTAGTTTAACTGGGTTAGCCGGTTTTCAATGCACTAGGAGTGTTAGGGGAAGGTTAGCCTATTAGTTCGAAATTTAGAATAATACATACGGGGGTTTAATAATAAAAGACCGTCAATAGATCGGATTATTAGTCTGAATTTTTCCTAAAAGAATAACCAGTCGGCCAGTCCAATCTCTTTTCAGCTGAAAATCTAGAAGTAATATTCATTAACCTTGGCAAAGCCCTCTCAAACTCATTTCATTTCAACTTAAAAGAGCTGACCCAGCCCATCAACCAACCCAAATTCCAAGCTACAAAAGTTATCCTGTTCGCGGGTTTACCGAATAAATTGGCCTACTGCCCTCTCAATCCAATACAAAACTTTCAAAGCTTTAAAAAGCAGAGTAAAAGAAGGGTAAAGCGCAGAGCATAACAATGACGAACGCGGAGGTAGAGGCGGTGGACTTCGAGCCGGAAGATGACGACCTGATGGACGAGGACGTCGATGGCACTTCCCCTAGGGCTCTAATTCCCAGGATCAAATCCGCTATCGGCGACTCCTCCGCTCCCAAGAAAACAAAGGGCCGCGGCTTCCGCGAAGAGGCTGCTGAGGCCGACCGTAATGCCCGCCTGTCTGCTCGATTCGACTCTCTTGTTTCGGATGGCGGCCCCGGTCCCGAAAGATGTCAGTTCCCCCTATCTCTCTCCCGCTCTAAATTTTGCAATTGTACGACTGGAGTTTCAGTCTCCAGGGTTTTAGATTGAATAAATGCGTGCTGAAAAATGGGTTACTAAATAGTTTGACAATGGCTAACAGTAATGAGGTAAAAGTAATGCTTCTTTCGTTGCTATGAGTTATTTATGGTGGTTTGGTAGATATTAAATCGGTAAACTGAATGTTCCAGCAAAGTTTGAGTTTCGATTTATTTTTAAACTGGACACTTGGGAAATATGCAATCTTAAATTCAATTTTTAAACTGAATATTCGGGCATAGATTGAATTTTGATCTTTATGATTACAACATTGACCAACATGCTATTATGAATAAAAAAGAATTGGAAGAAAGTATAAAAGAGAGATCCTTCAGCTCCTTTGAGGTAGTCAAACCATTCTAGAGTGATGAGAGCAGGGTACTTGCTAGGTCAAGTGTCAGCGATATGGCTACTGGCTATGCCAAGTGTGTATGCTTATTGGTCTATTCTACAAGTAAATGAGTAATGATATGGGCAGGGATGTGATAATGGATCGATAAGAATAGCCTCTGGGTGAGTATGTGAATGTGGGATACAAGCACCCATTTAAGTTTCATGTTTGGATCGAAGAAACCTGTCAAATATTTCGTTGTACAAATGTTCAATTAATTCTAATATGAGTGCCACTGCTCCTTAGTCCTTACTAGCTGGGGTAGAAGAATTTGAAGTTCAAACTACAATGATTGAAGGGAAATTTTCCTTTCCCTCTTATTTTGCGGCCTCAAGATGCAAGTTTCAGCATTCTGCATAAAATTTGAACTTTAAAGCATTTATAGTCTTATTTGGATGTTAAGGAGGCAACAGAAATGATATAGGAATGATAGATATACTTTTTAATGACTCTACTGTGCTATATTTGCTAAGAGACTTTGTCCTTCTTCCTTTAGCCTTTATGATATTTTGATTGCATATAAATTAAATTTTTGGAGTATAATGTTGACATCAGGCTGATGTCTTCATCTGTTTGCTCAAACTATAAGCCAACTATTACTTCACTGATTTCTAGATGTGATTTGAGCATGAGGCACATTTAAAGTATTGGTACAACTGGTTTGGAACTTCAAAAGAAATTTAACATGATGAAGAGCATCATAAAGACATTATTTTTTATGAATAATAAAGGGGCGGTGTTCGAGACTGAAGATGTTTTTAATTGGACTGAAATTTTCTAGTCTGGATTGTTTAAGTCTGGTATGAACTGGTCTAGCGTAGCCTGTTCTAATAAATGTCTGTTATGTGTATTTTACAACTGTCGAAGTCCGGTTTGGTTAGGGACTGAAACCAAACCAATTAAAAACATCCCGAGTATTGGAAATAAAATTGACGTTGTATATTTATCAACTTTTTAGTAATTAGTGACAAATTAAAGTAGTTCCAGCATAGAAAAGGGTTTAAAATTTTATGGAGGAAAACTGAAGTCTGAAGATAGAAAGGTTTGCATGAAATATGGCACAAAAGATAGGAGTGTGTGGAATCAAATCTAGGCTAAGCAGTAAAGTGGAAGATAGAGCAAAAAACCAAACTAACTTGTTATATCACCCTTTTGGAGCTGTTTAAGTTTTTTTTGCTCTTATCCTTTTGGGGTGGTCAGTTTATTGTAGGCTGGGAGTGCTGAATGCTCATGTATTTGGGTTCAATAATATTTATATTAATAATGGTAAATAAAGAGTTTAACAGTGCTAGATTGTTGCAGCCATTGAAGGATGGATTATTTTGGTAACTGGAGTTCATGAAGAGGCCCAAGAAGATGATATCCTTAACTCTTTTGGTGAGTTTGGAGACATTAAGAATTTGCATCTGAATCTGGATCGCCGCACTGGGTTTGTAAAGGTGACTATGAAAATATTGCACTTTTGAAAAGTGTCAAGCCCTTTGTTTCTAGCTGGTTCCAAAGCACAGACATAAGATACTATTGTAATTAGCAGTTCATTACACTTAATTTTCCTTATGTTGTTTTATTGAATAGCTTGCTTATGTTTTCCTATAGGGCTATGCACTGGTTGAATATGAAAACTTTGAAGAGGCACAAAAAGCTATAAACGAGCTGGATGGAACTCAACTGCTCACTCAAACCATTAATGTTGATTGGGCATTTAGCAGAGGCCCCTTCAAGAGAAGGAATAATAGGAGGTATGTTGTGAAATGCTCCCTAGTTTAGTTATAACCTGAATGTATGAATAGCATTGATATAGCCATTATGATTTTTTATAGCAAGCTTCAAATAATACCCACTCCATCTCTAATGGTTTGCCTACTTTGTCCAGATACAAGGTTTAGAGTGTGAAAAGTATATGGTTGAGATCTACTTAATATAGAAAAATATTGTCAATCATGGGCGGGAAAAAGAAAGGATGTAGATAATTTGGGGACAAAGGGAGTCATCTAAAGAATATGCATGTCATTGTTATGTTAGGTGTATCCTTTGTTTTTAAAATATGTATATATTAGTAAATGATTATATGCACCCCAAATTAAATCATTGGCATGAATAGAAAAGTTTGAGTTATTGTTAATATCTCAAATGATACATTTGCTTTGCATAGCCATTAGTCTGATGGGATGCCATAATGGACAACTTCAATTCTTTATCGAAATCGTGAAAGACAACTACCATTTGGATTTTGTTTTTTGATCCTTTCACAATCTGAGAGAATGTGGAGATGATCTTGACCATTTATTGGCTAAACCCCTAATTTGCTTACGTAATGCATTCTTCAAGGACTTGTATCATATCAATGGACCAGATGGTGTTACAATTTGTTCAAATGATGCACAGAGAATGACTTCGTGATGATATTGATCCTTTACATTCAATTGTTTAATACAGTAAAAATAATAAACCTGTTGTGTAGTCGATCCTGGAAGGATAAAGTGTAACTGTGTAAGTGATTCATTCATATTTGATGCCTATGCTGCTATGCAGATCACCTCGAGGTCATCGTTCAAGAAGTCCCCGGAGGAGATACTAGCTATGTGTGTGTGCGTGTTTCTTTTCTGAAGTCATTGTGACTCTTGTTTGAGAATATAGACTTTAGCCTCAAGGAATTCTGGTTGATATTATGTACACTACTATTTGAGCACGTTTGAATGACTGGTATTTGCTAGGCGTCCCTGTATTCTCTTGATTTGTCTTGCTTTTATTTTAATTATTAATGCATAATGATTAATGGCACCTGTAATGTCCAGTATTGACCCTTCCAAGAACAAGGTGGTTGTTTTGTCGAAGTTGGGATATCAATCTTTATTGCATCTACAAATGCAAATATGCAATGCTCTTTAGTGAAAGAATATTCTTTTCCAATCTTGTAAAGGTGCCACAACACCATTTGAGTGGATTTAACCTTAAACTCCCCCTTAAAGTACAAATATGATTTCCCAAAAGTTATTCTAACAAATCAAAATTGTTGTTATTTATTCTCTTGATTTTTTTGAGGCATTTACTGATTTAAACCGATTTTCATCTCAGAGGAGTCAGAGGATACATAAGTTTTAGAAACTCACTCTGGTTTAAAAAAATTTAGGCCTGATGCACAAAAATGGAAGGCAACCATATTCAAGTAGTATAACATTACTATTCCAATAATATTTTTTCTTATTCATCAACCTAGAGAGTTTCAAAATAATAAAAACCTAGTTTCATGTAAATCCAGGGGTGGATTTGGGTCGGGCCACCCGGCCGTGGACCGGCCCGCTACTGTGCAGGACCAGGACCGGCCCGGTTCTTGAGTCCGGGTTGGGCCTAGGCCCGGGGGGTGCGGGTCTGGGCTCGGGTCTTTCATTTTTTGGGGTTTCACCCAAATCGGGCTTGATGGTTAGGAGGGGTTTGGGGGGTGGGGGTGAGGGGGGGTTAGGAAAGCAAAAAAAAAAAAAAAAAAAAAACCAAACCGGAGGCCCGGCCCGGTCCAGACCCGGTGGCTACCCGGCCCGGTCCCGGGTCCACCAATTCCGAACCGCCGGCCCGCCCGGGCCTAGGCCCGACCCAGACCCGGCCCGAATCCACCCCTATGTAAATCCATTGAGTTGTTATTAAGCTTGGCATTTATTGATAGTTTAGTTTGGGGGAAAAGAGGCAAATAAGCCCTCGAACTAATCGTGCAAATAAGCCCTTTTGTAGGAGGTTCTGTCCAATCATCGTCATTTGGGGAGGTTTTTGGTGGAATTTTTTGATGATTTTTTTGTGAGAATCTTCTTCATTAAGTCTAGTTTAGCTATACCAAATTTCAGCTAAAAATTCAAACGGGAAGGCACTCAAATGATTTTCGGAAATATACTGCGTTGTTTAACTACGCAGTTATCTTCAAATATTCATTTGACTGTCTTTCCGATTGAATTTTTAGCTGAAATTCGGTACGACTAAACTAGACTTAATGAATAAGATGGTCAAAAACTTTCATAAAAAAAATTCCACCAAGAACCTCCCCAAATGACGATGGTCGGACGGAACCTCCTACAAAAGAGCTTATTTGCACTTTTTTTTATTAGTTCGAGGACTTATTTGCCCATTTTCCCTTTAGTTTGACTAACTTAACATTCTGTGTGTATGTTTCTTTTGCCAGTAAAGTAAATTTGTAAGTTTTGCCTGTGATTTTTTCAACCGTGTACAAAAAGGGACGGAAGGGTAGCCGGTGAAAAGGACACACATAGCCCCGTTTAACAGATTTAGTGTGAATCAAATACACAGACTTTACGGCCCCTATCTCTGTTTAATTGGGATAAATGTGCCTGCTAGTGACGAATCTGACGATCATGGGCATTCCTAAAAATCGTTTACAGGTACAGATTAATAATGTGTAATATAGAAAACAACATATAATCCCTATACCATGGAAACCCTGTACCATGGTAGAAACACCAAAGGCTGTTGGCCATGGATTAATGTCTCTAGCCATGAAGATCCATAAAGCAAATACTACGTATAATATTTACTAGGCAGTGCCAATTAAGTGTGCACTTGTCTATCGTTTTCCTTGATGAGCTCTTCAAGTTCATCAATAATCGCGTCGTAGCAGAAAAGATATTGTTCCTGAAAACCAACACAATCATCAAACTTTATGTACAATACCAGATTTTCTCAAACGCCAGCAAATGACATTTGTGAGTGTTATTTAATAGCCAAAACAGATAGTAGGGAAAAAATAATATTGAAATTAAAACACAACTATAAACAATTATGTGAATTCATACTCGAAGAATCATTCATCTTCATTACCCCCATGCCGCAAAGGCCCCACCTTCGATAGGGTAAGGGGGGTCGGATGTACGCAGTCTTACTCTTGTACTAAAATACAAAGACACCGTTTCTGGATGACCCATATTGAAAATCGCGTCGAAAATTGCATGAACTGACTGTTGTTTCATAACAAAGAAGCGCAAACAGTTTAGTGAGCCATTTTGCTTTATTCCATCATATTCTCGGGCCACAAAATAGTGAGTCTTTGGTTCCATTGCAAATGATGGACATGAATTCATACTCGAAGAATGCTTGACTATATTCATCCCCTGCCCCAGCCAATGCTAAAGAATTTAAATTGGCTAAAACTAAAAATAATGATGAGAATATAACTCACAGCTTTTAGTTTGACAAAATCAGGACCAAAACTTATTTAGGAAAAATACTAACATTACCCCAGTGCCGCAAATGCTTCCACCTATGGTGGGGTATGGGGGATCGGATGTACACAACCTTATCCCTCTACTTCTTACCCCTCTACTGAAGCAAATAGAGACTGTTTCCGGATGACCCATGATAAAATTGAATGTTGCTTCATAACAAAAAAGCACACACAATTAAGTGAACAATTTTGCTTTATTCCATCATATCCCCAAGCAAAAAAAATAGTGAGACTTTGGCTCCATTGGAAATGATGGAATTTATTTAGGACAAATAAGTAACTAAAATTAAATGAGAAGTCTAATATCCCCATTACAACAATCTACCCCATCAACGTTTTCTTCCCTCACCAAGCTGCTTCATCTTTGGGCCAGGCGAGGAACACCCAACTCCACCGGTGTGACAGTAGACTAAGGCGATTCACGCTAGAGGAGGCGACTCCATACCGGTGAAGGCGACCAGTGAGAGCGACAACCAATCGGCTCTGCTCCATCCTCTTCTATGTTGCTCCTCGTCTCCTCGATAATGCCCATTACGTAACCTGCCCCATCAACATTTTCTTCCCTCGCCAAGCTTCTTCTTCGGGCCAAGCGAGGAACACTCAGTTCCACCGATGCGATAGCAGACGGAGGCGATTCACACCAGAGGAGGTGACAACAACCAATCAGCTCTTCTTCATTCTCTTCTTTGCTGCTCCAAGGGTGACTGGCTACGAGCAACGAACCGGATCTAGATCAAGAATGGTGGTGGCTAGGGGTTGGGCCTGGGGAAGCGGTGGCGGCTAGGACGTCCTGAACCTCATCACGCAGGTAGGATCAATTCCGATCATCAGCACGACCTGCAAGAAGTTCCTTCAGACCCCACTCTAGGCTTCATCATTTTCAACGTCTCGCTCGCCGGCTTCATCGTCACATGCTTCCGTCTCACGTGGTCCTCTGGCTCCCGGCAAGGTGTACAAGGACTGGCTGATGAACTACTCTGGAGGCTGAGGAAGAAGGTTGCAGATCCTCATAATTGGATACCCATTAGGCAATGTAACTGAAAAAATAGCTCTCTATGGCTGGCATTGGACACTACTACCGGCGGTGGTCACTGGTCAGCGGTGGTCAGTGTGTGAACGGGTGATCACTGGCCAGAAAATAGTCACTGGGACGTTTGGTCATGGTCACTGAATAGTAGTCACTTTGATTTAAGGGGTAAAAAAGTCACTTTAGTCTCTTTTTTGGATTTTTTTTAAACTGGCTTCCAAAATCTTTTGGGATTAAGGCTTGGTTGGTGTTATTGTTGTTTTGAAACTGGCCCTATTTTAGTCCATAGCATTTTTTAGTATTATTTTTAGGGAAAAACCCTAAAAATAATCTTATATTATCCTGGTCTAAAACGTCTTTTACCAAACTCCCCTTGGTTCTTAGTCGCACAATCCAACAGATTAAGTTCTAGTAACCAACTAACCATTCAAATTTTCTTAAACGTTCTCACAAGTAAAAACAAGTTCACTTAAAGCCAAATGGGACTACGGGACACGAATGAATATATTCAAGTGTGATGTTTTTCTGTACACTGGAAAACAAATCTTCCTGCAACTGTAGATATGATGATATTCAGAACCATTGCAACCACATTAGCTCTTGTCATCAGATATATAGAAACCCACATTAAACAATAACCCAACCATATTATTACACAGGGAAAGAATAAACAGTAATATGAAAGCATTATACGTACCAATGTTTGAACCATCCCAATTCGTTGTGACCTAAAAACGGTGATGGTATTTACAAGATCTAAAGCGGACATATCCCCGAGCAGCACCTTTTGGATGGTGTTGTGAATTGTGCAATAGGTTCCAGTTCTACCAATACCTGCACTGTGACAAAGATACGTGTCAGGTAACAGGTTCCATTTGGGACTTTGGGTAATTAAAACAAAATCAGAGCTATGAAGACAGATCTGCATAGAAACTAGAAAGTTGGGGCAAAACCTGCAATGAACCACAATTGGGCCAAGACTAGGTGGCACAGTAACTAAGTGCTTCACAATCTCACGAACAAGAATTGTGTCCTTAGGAACTCCATGATCAGGCCATGCAGGATACTGAAAGTGCAAGACATGCAGAGGTGGCTCTTCTGACTGCAACAAGTAGGAGAAAATGTTAGAAGTATTCACTCCACCAGTCTCAATACAAGCTCCACATTTTGACGATTAATATGCGATTTGATGGTGTGCCAAAAGAGTAATTGTTCATATAAAAAAACTTTCTTGATTCTTGAGCAGTGTATCAACTCTAATAAGACATCTGAGAGCCTAACAGTATAAAATGGTTTTATATCGGAATCTTAAGTGAGGAATCGGGGTCAATTGTTATTCTTAAAAACTCAGGAAATCCGAATAAAAAAATGTCTGTACTGAAAGCTTTCATTCCAGGTAAGTGATCCCTGTACTTGGGTACTAGGTAAGATCTTACGATCCTAGATTTACGATCATTCACCCCGAGGCCCCTATTGATCTTTTCTATATAAAAAAAAGCCTTGACAACATTGTTCTTTTGTTTGGTGGGCTTTGACGCTTTGTCTGGTGATCTTATAATTCAAGACTTCAACTGAGCGTCACACTTGCACACCCTGCGTCAGGAGTATTTGAACTATGGTTTAACAGACCAATGATGGGTTTCAAAGATATTGG